TGGAATGTCACAAGAGGGCTATGCCGACCCCGTCACGAATGACGGACCCGAATTCCACTCGATCACACCTGTTAGCGAACTCACCGAGCTAATCTTCGAGCCCGAGTGATCGGGACAGGCGACGAAACTCAGCCCCTCCGGTTGTGAGGAACCGAGGATGGGGTAACGCACAATACTCACATCGACCCCCATGAAGGCCCGATAAGGCTTGGGGGCTCAAGACAAACGCCAAGGACAGCGACCTCGAACTCGCCAGATCCACGACTCTGACTCACCCGGTCCCACGGCGCGCACCGATGCCAGGATCCGCGTGCATCGCCTCGTCCGATCTTTAACCAAACTAACTACGCTTCGGCTTCAAAACGGCTTCACTTCCGACTGCGCTCCAAAAACCTTGGGACCGCGACTCCGAACTCGTGTCGACAGGATCTATGACATCCGGCTACGGCTCTTGGGACCCTGACCCTGAACTCACGTCGACAGGATCTACGACATTTGGCTATGGCTTTTGGGACCATGACCCCGAACTCACGTCGACAGGATCTATGACATACGGCTACGGCTCTAGGGACCGTGACTCCTAAACTCACGTAACGGCTTCACTTGGGATCCACGAGCTCCGTCTCGTCCGATTACTGAACTAACTAAACTAACTCTCTTGATCCATGGCGCGCACCGACACCTGGGTCCGTTCACGGCCCCACCTCGCTCGATCCCACGACGCGCATCAACGCCAAAGATCAGTGAGCTCTGACACGTCTAAACCGAGCTATCTCCATCCACGGCGTGCATCGACGCCAAAGATCAGTAAGCTCTGACACGTCTGAACCAAGCTATCTCCATCCGTGGCGTGCACCGACGCCAGGATCAGTAAGTTCTATCTCATCCCCATGCCTAAAAAACCCCTCTGCTACACAGTGATGCCGTGGTTTAACAAAATTCCATCTCAAACTAAAAACACACACGCCCGTTGAAACAAACCCCCAGACGGTTCTGCCCGAACCACCCGGAGGCTCGGGGGCTACCCCCGCGGGTGCGCTCGTGCGCACCCGCCGGCACAACAGAAAAACCTCCCTCGCTGACAACGCAGAAAACCCCCTAGCCAGTTCTGCCCAAACCGCCCGGGGGCTCGGGGGCTACACCCGCGGGCGCACGCCGGCAAGACAAAAATCCCCCGGACGATTCCGCTCGAATCGCCCGGGGGCTTGGGGGCTCCTGTCGAGATCATAAACCTGGGGTCCCTCGGGGACCCGCTTCCACACCAGGGCTCGGCCCAGGAAAACAGCACGTAATTCATGGGCCGGCCCAAGAGTCTAAACCACAACAGGCCGAAAGGATAGTCCAGTCACCGACCGAAAGGTCTACCCAAAAGGACAAGCGCCCATTCATCAACTTCTTCGGCCCACCTCTCTGACCGGAGCACTCGCTTCGGGCACCAGTCGCCTCCGAGCGGTCTCTCCGATCGGAAGGCCTGGCCCATAACGCTGCTTCCTACTCCAACCCAGCGACTCCGACCGAGGACCCATAGGAAACCTGCTTACTGCTCTTCTCCGACTGGCACGGCCAGGGCCGACTGGGGCCATCCGATCAGGGACGTCCACTCGGAAAGGACCAGGGGCGAACAGAGAAGGCAGCGCACAAGTCAAACCATGATACCAGGACCATACCCTGTACGCCTACGGGAACAGTGCTCCGCAACCGCTCTGACGCAAACAGTATTGTAGGGCACGTTGCCTGAACCAGTATTAATCTTGTGCCATTGAGTGCTAGGCCACCTCCGATCACAACGTATAGCAAAAATACAAATATTCACTAGTTGGTCACTTTGTGTACCGACAGACTGATTCAGTAAAAAGATTTATTTACCTTTTATGTTGTTGGTCCAATTGCTTGGTTACTACTAGTACAAACTATCCAAACTTGTTTGTTCCTTCACCAGCTAATATAATCTTGCTGAGCTTTTGTGATATATATCATATATATATATCTAATGGCCAAATGGAGGAGACATGCACGTTAATTTTAGAATAAAAATACCACTTGAAAGATGACATCACATGAATATGAGAATCATTTTCGAAAGTGATATTTAGGAGAACTTATCTACAATTTAGACTTTGGTACATATTAGATGAACAATTGTAAAACAAGCTATGTGTCGTGCCCCTAAACAATTTAAACCATGTAGGTTTGCTCCAAGGGTTAAGAGTGAAACCGAGCAAGCCTACCATAAGATATACCTAGTATATGCAAGATAAAAGATTAAACATGCAAATGCAAACTTAGACATGAAAAGGAACTAGATGCTAATTGAGATTGCAAGAAATTAAATCTAGTTACCTAACATGGGAAGGGGAATTTGGGTCCATATTATTCACTAACCCACTTGGCAATTACCTTGTATATAATGATTCACCACATGAAATGCACCCATACTTTGCCAAGTCTTCAAATTCCCCGAAGTCCATCGGACATCTCACTTCCCTTTCGAGATCCAAACCTTCTTGGTACTCTTCATGTTGGAAATGATCTCCTTTGGCACCTAAATACGTTTGGCCCCATTGTTGGCTTACTTGTTCACCTTGATGGCCACCATCTTGTCATTTTTCTTCTTCTTCAAGAGATAAGGTGTGGAGGCTTTTGTCCACCTTGTTGGTGTAGGTGTTGGTGAGCTTGCTTGTTTCCTTTTTGTTTTTCTTTTTCTTCTTAGCTAATCCTCTATTCTTCACCTTGCACTCATAGAACTTGTGGCCTTCCTTGTGGCACACGTAGCAAACCACGGTTTGTCCTTCATCAAGCTTCTTCACTCCTTTGACGGTGTTATCTTGATGAAGTTGGGCTTGCTCCATCTTGCCTTTCACTTGAGTCAAGTCCTTGGTGAGGCGAGTCACTTCTTGCTTGAGTTGCTCATTCTCCATTGCGACCTCTTGTGTGCATGTTTTTAGGCATGTTAAAAATTGAACCTTTCTTTTTAGGTGTCTCAGTGGGGGTTATACCGACGGCTTCAAGATTTGCAACTTTATTAGTTAGCTCTCACAATGTTTGCACATGGTTTCTATTTTAGCAAGCAAACTTTTATAAGCATCTTCTGAGCTAGCTAACTTTTCTTTTAATTTTTTATTTTTCTTTACAAGTTGCTCATTATTTATTGTGCATGCATTTATTGTTACACTAGCCACAAATTGCTCAATTTTAGTATATAGTTCAATATTGAGATTAGCAAATGTCTTATATTGTTCAAGCAAGGTTTTATATGATTCTTATGAACTATCTAGCTTTTCTTACAATATTTTTAGCTTCTTTTGTTTGCTAGTGCAAGCCTTAGCATATTTAAGATTTTCTTGCACAAGTTTATTAAGAGAAGGCATTTCATCATCACTATCACTCTCACTAGAGGATGAGCTTTCGTTACCTCATGCCATAAGGCACACACAAGAAGAGCTTGATGATAAGCGTTTGTGGCCTCGCCTCTTGTGATGGTCTTCTTCTTCACTTGAAGAATCATTTCATGACCTTATTGATGTGAGGGCTTTGTTCTTGCACGCCTTCTTCTTTGTATTGGGTGTGGGTTTGTTTGGACAAACTTCCACAAAGTGCCCCAACTCATCGCATCCATAGCATTCTTCTTTTCTTTGCTCATTTCTTTAATTGGTGAAGATAAAATCTTGAATTTAGATGGGCACACCCTTGATATTGAGTATTTGAATCATCTTCTCCACCTTGTTGATAAGTTTGATTGATTCTTCATCAAGATCGAATGTGGAGGAGGAAGATTGATCATCATCACTTGAATCTTCATCATCATCATCATCATCATCATCATCATCATCATCATCATCATCTTCTTCTTCTTCTTCTTCTTCTTCTTCTTCATCTTCACTTGAGGAGCTTGAGCTTGAGCTTGTCTCAACTTGCTTGTCCTTCATCTTCCTTTTCTCACTACATGCGAGAGTTTTGCCTTTGTTTGATGACGAGGCTTCTTCTTGACCCATCTTCCGTGACATTTCAAATGTCACTATTTTGCCAATGACTATGGCTGGGGTCGTGGTGCTCAAGTCCTCCATGTTGTGAAGGATGGTGATGATGCTTGCATATTTCTTTGGTGGTAGCACGGAGATTGTCTTCCTCATGATGTCCATATCATCTAGCTTTGTTAATCCTATTGAATGGAGCTTATTGATAATTAGATTCAAATAAGAATACACATCACGAACAAGCTCATCATCATTCATTTTAAAGGAATCAAAATTTTGTTTAGCTAGACAATGTTTTTGCTCATGCACATTAGTTATGCCGTCATGGAGTTCTTAGAGTTTTAACTAAATTTCATGTGTCGTATTGAAGTGAACACTTAGTTAAACACATCCATGCTAAAAGATTCAAACAAGCAATTTTTAGCTCTATCATTGAAATGAATTTCTTTTTCTTCACTCTATGGGTTTATCGAGATTTTTAATGGGTTTTATCCCATCACGAGTGACTCTCCAAACACCCAAATCTATCGCCTCAAGGTGACAAGTCATTCTAACTTTATAGTAGGGAAAGTTAGTGCCGTCAAAATGCGGAGGCTTAGAGGTATCCATCCCAACCACTCTAAATAATGTCGGCTCAACGGCGGTGAAGCAAAAGGTCCAAATTGAGCCAACCTGGCTCTGATACCAATTGAAAGGGACCATGACACTTAAGAGGGGGGGGGGTGAATTAGGCAACTTAAAACTCTAACTCTAAACTATAACCACTTTTTTCTACCCTTAGCAAAACCTATGTAAAGGATAAATTATCTAATTGTGCAACTATGGTTTTTGCTAGTATGTTGCTATCTCTACCGCAAAAGGAGTTATGCAACCTAGGTTTTAACAAAGTTCGGCTAGGCGGTGCCTACTCGGCGACTATGCGCGCCTAGTCGCTGGGCTAAGCCCGTCGCCGCGACTAGGGGCATAGTGGCGCATCGCGGTGCAAGGCGGAGCTAGGCGGCGCTAGGCGGCGTGTAGGCGCGTGAGATGAGCGCGAGCTCGAGGGCGGCCAGTTTTGGCATGCCAAATCGGAGCGCGGGAGGAATTTTAGCTCGGTCAGGCCCGCGCGCGGCCACGAGACCCAGCCGCGGGAGGATTAGCAGGCCATTCGCTCGTCCCCGCCTCTGCTCCTTCCACCGGTCCTCCTCCTCTGCTCCTCCCGATGGTCCTCCTCCTCTGCTCCTCCCACCGGTCCTGCTCCTCCCCTGCTCGTCCAAGCTCGTCCCCGACTCGCGCACCGTCGGTCCTGCTCGTCTTCGACTACAACCCCTCCCCGTCGGCCACCCAAAGTCCCCAAGGTGAGCTCCCTTCCCTCCATGCTCCTCTCCCCTCCCATGCCGGTAGCTCCTCCCCTGCTCATCTCCCCTGTATTTGAATTCATTAGTGAACTCTTGAATTTGAATGTAGGATGTCGACAGAACAAGGTGTTGCTACAGGAACTCTTGAATTTGAAGTTGAATGTAGGATGTCAACAGGAACTGAGGCAACTAATCTCTTGAAAAGGAACTCAGATGATGTTGGATGGGAATATGGTGTTCTTGTTGATGCTAGCAACAAGGACAAGGTGAAGTGCAAGCTCTGTGATAAGGAGATGAGAGGAGGGATTCATAGGTTGAAGGAGCATTTGGCTCATGAAGGAAAGAATGTGAAGAAATGCACAGCAAGAACACCATAGGCTATGGAGGCTAAAGAGAAGTGCAAGAAGGCACTAGCTGATGCAAAAAGGAAGAGGGAGGAGAAGACTGTTCATGAGCTAGAAATTAGAGAGGAAGTTCATGTATCTAGGGTTGGAATAGATTCAGATGAAGTCACCTATGTTGGAAGTTTAGAGCCCCACAAATTAGGACCCATTGACAAATGAACACGTGCTATTGATCCTAAAGCTACCAAGTCTGATTCTTTGAAGCAACATCAGCTGAACAAGGAACTTTGGAAAGAAAGAACCAATGATGTGCATAAGTACATTGCAAGATGGGCCTATACACATGGTAAATTGCTAGTATATTATGATGTTTTTACATTTCAAAGTTCATTAGATGTTGTTTTCCTGCACTGAACACTAATTATGCTTCTTTCAATGTTGTGTTGGCAGGAATTGCTTTCAATGCATGTGATAATGATGAGTTCAAGTAAATATGCGAAGCAATTGGACAGTTTGGTCCAGGACTTGTACCTCCAACTCAGGATGCACTATGAGGGAAGTTGCTGGAAGAAGAATATGAAAGAACCAAGAGTTTGCTGCAGGAGCGTGAAGCTGAGAAGATGAAAAATGGATGTTCTATTATGACTGATGCTTGGTCAAATAGGAAGAGAAGCATAATGAATCTGTGCACCAATTTTGCTGATGGAACCTCCTTCATCAGCTCTAAGGAGATGTCACATATCTCACATACCGGTGAGGTCATCTTTGATCTTGTGGACAAAGCAATTGAAGAGATTGGTCCAGACAATGTGGTGCAAGTAGTGACTGACAATGCCTCTAACAACATGGGAGCAAAGAGGCTATTGGAAGAGAAGAGACCACACATATTTTGGACCTCTTGTGCAGCTCACACAATCAACCTTATGCTCCAAGGAATTGGCAGCATGACTCAGTTCAAGAAAGTGGTTGACCAAGCAAAGGCATTTACCATATTTGTCTATGGCCACACAAGGACATTGGAGTGCTTGAGATACTTCATAGAGGGGAAAGAGGTAGTGAGGCCAGGAGTGACTAGGTTTGCTTCAAACTTTCTCACTTTGAGTAGCATGCAAGAGAAGAAGGACCAGTTAAGGAAGATGGTGGTTCATAGTAGGTGGGACTCATTGAAGGATGTGAAATCAAAGAAAGGAAAAGAGGCAACAGCAACTATATTGAGTCCAAGCTTTTGGAAGGATGTGAAGCTAACATTGACTGTTTTTGAGCCATTGGTCAAAGTCCTCCGTTTGGTTAATGGGGATGTGAGGACATCCATGGGTTTCCTTTATGGAGAACTACTAAAGGCAAAGAGACAGATCAAAGAGGCCTTTGGAAATGTTGAGGCTCGGTTCAAGGATGTAATAGCTGTTATTGACAAGAAGATGAATGGAAGACTTGATTCTCCATTGCATTTGATAGCCTATTTGCTGAATCCTGACTATAGCTATAGTGACCCATCAATCTTTGATCAGCCCAAAATATCAGAAGGGTTTATAGCTTGTGTTGAGAAATTTTATTATCATGATGAGGACATGCAGCATCAGGCTGCCAACATTGAACTAAAGAAGTTTCAGAATAGAGAAGGACCCTTTAGCAAGAAACTTGCTAGGACTTTTGAAAACTTTGATTACAACCCAGGTAGAGGTCCTTCCTATAAGCTTGCATGGCTCATGGTTGTTTGTTGTTTGTTGTTTTCTAAACTAATAGAGGTGTTTTTTTTATTTCAGCATCATGGTGGAGACTGTATGGATATGAAACACCAGCTTTACAGAAGATGGCTACAAGGATCCTATCTTTGACATCAAGCACTTCTGGTTGTGAAAGAAATTGGACTGGGTTTGAAGGGGTTAGTACCTATCTATTATGAACATTTCAATTTCAGCAGCATTACAATTAAATTGTAGAACTGAGAATACTTTTTTTAAATTGTAGATACACACTAAGAAGAGGAATAGGCTTACTACAACCCGCCTCAACAAGCTGGTGTATATCCAATTCAACTCCAAGCTACTTAGTAAGAGACAAAAGATCAAGTCAAATAAAATCATTGACGTTCTCTTGTCTAGTGATACAACTGAAGCTCAAGATTTTCTCCAAGAGGGTGGGGATGATTGTGCATTAGTTGACTTTAGAGATGGGGAGGAAGATGAGATGGAAGGTATAGGGATACCTTGGTCTGTCATTGGAGAGGCAGTGGGAGCAGATGAGCAGCTTCAACTGCGTAGAAGTGCAAGAGTGAGGGAGCTCTATGAAGGAGAAGATTTTGAGTCTGAAGAAGAAGAGTATGACGATGAGGATGTGTACTACAGTGAAGAAGAAATATGATCTGGACCATCTCCATCTAGTAGTGAAGCCTTTTGTGATGCCCTGGTCTTATGAACTGCAGCTGTGTCACTGTGTCTGTGTGTCTTCTTTTGTGATTTGTGAGACCTAAACTAAGAACTATGTGCTTGTGTTGTCATTTATTTATAAATTGTGTTGTGCACTTGTATTACTATCCTATTCACTTGTATTGTAATTACCAGCTGCTGATATGGTGTGCTCATGGATGGGAGGTTGCTGAAATGATCCAGATAAGTCACAACTTAGTGTTTTCTATTTTTTTATGAACATCTAGCTGTCTATTGACTAATTTACTAACTACTAGCTGTCAAAATATGTTGCAAGAGGTAGGAACATACAAGAGTAAGCCAGCTAGGAATCAGATATGTCTACTGGCCCTCTTTTTATACTTACTGTGACTCATATATAGTGGTTATATACTTATATACATATATATAGTTATAGTTATATACATAATATATATATATATATAATTTATGGCTATATTGCCAAAATGCCTAGGAAAACACCTAGGAGCGCCTAGGACTGAGTACTCCCGACTAGGCGCTAGGCAATGGGTCAGCGCCTAGATTCCGCCTACCGCCTAGCTGAACTTTGGGTTTTAAATCTATCAACTAGCCTATCACTAAGCTATGAAAGTAAAGCACACACCAAGATTGTAATATAAATACGGAAGCTAAAGAATAAGGTAGAGATATGCAAACTCCCGTCGATGACTTTGGTATTTTTATCGATGTATCGAGAAGCGCGCAAGCTTTCCCCTAGTCCTCGTTGGAGCCCCTCGCAAGGGCCAAGCTCCCGGTCGGGTAACTCTGCGGATAGCCTCAGGCCTTCTCCACGTGCAAGTGCGTCTCCGACGTGCCTTCCAGCAAGCCTCTCTCGGATGCTCTCCGCCGTCTTCACTATCAAGCTTCCGGCCGAAACGCCACGGGCCTTGTTCCTTTCGATATACGGTGGCAGCCACACCACAAACGTAGTTGGTGTGATCTCACAAGACTACAAGCCCCTCCGATATACAACAATGGTGTGCGCAAGCACCAAGTGATAAGAGGTATGCAAACCTCACTAAACTCTAGGCCTAAACCTAGAGCAAGCGCATAAGCGGTGGTCTAATCAACGTAAGCACTTCGCAAAACACCTACGCTAATCACCTAATGAATCACTAAGCACTATGCAAGTGAAGATCACTAAAATAATGTATCAACACCCTTGGTATGTTTCCTCAGCTCTCTACATATCAAATAGCCGGTTGGAGGGTTTATTTATAAGCATTATGAAGAAAGTAGCCGTTGGGGACGAAACCTAGCTTTCTGCTACTGACTGGATACGTCTGGTTGTCCCGACCGTTGGAGCTCGCGCGTTGATCGGACTCTGGGCTAAGTCTGGTCATCATCGATCGAACGTATCCGGTCGTGCTGGCGCCGCTCTGAAATCTTTCTGGACTCGATCGGACGCCACTACCTGGCGCGTCCGGTCGTCTACAGCTGCTGCATCCGATCACGCTGAATTATTGCCACGATAATGAACAATGAAGTTCGTGTGTCCGGTTACTACCTCGCTTAGCGTCCGGTCGCTGCTGCTGACATCTGTTGTTGCCGAGAAACTGATCGAACGCGTCCGGTCACTCATAGGGGCCGTATACGGTCACCTTTGCCAAGCTCGTTTCTTCGCAATCTTGCATCCGGCTTGGTTTTTATCTTCGTGTTTGGACTATGCTTATATCTTGGGTCTTCTCTTATGCTTCTAGGGTCTTACTTCTGGTGTTGATCATGGGATCATCATGTTGCCTTCGTCCAAGTCACGTCTTGCACCCTATTGAACTATAAAACAATTACTTACAAATTCATTAATCTAATTTAGTTATGTTGATCATCAAACACTAAAATCTAAAGTAAATAGATTTAGGGTCCATTTCCCTTACAACAATCACTATAATTAATCTGAGCGTCACTGCCGGCCGGCCGGCCGTTGACTGGACTCCATATATGCATGCATAACGTTGATATCGATCGATCGATCACTTGCACATATCTCTGGGAGACTTGAGACTCTGACTAGCGCGGAACACAATTACTCTCTCTATCTGAAATAAATCAACTTTTAAAAGTTATACAGTAATAAATTAAACTGTTTTGAGCTTCATCAAATTTATATAGAAGTACATCATCAATATTTGTGAGACCAAATTAGTATCATCAGATGCATGACGGAATTATAAGTTCATATATGTATTTATTTGGTTGGATAGATTGTGTTACTAATTTATATAATGTTAGTCAAACTTAAGATAATTTGATTTAGGGTGATTCTAAGATCATAATTGTTTTATTTTGGGACAAACGGCAGCGAACCTTTTTGAAATGGATAAGCTTTCCATTACTCATCAGTCTGGCCAAATCGCCGGACATCAAACCCTCCAAACCACGGAGTACCTAGCAGCATCGGTGGCCATATAATCAAACAATCTCATCAATCACATAGATGATGACGACAGCTTCTGATTAGAAAATAAAGTGAGGACATATATGTCTTTTGTATTCTCTATTAATCTATCTTAAAATTTTTGGAGTGCGCTGTGTTACATGATACATGGAATACGAAATAAGGGACATAACAAGTGTTGGATTTGAACTTAACATGAAAAATAGTGGTGGTACACGGTTGAATGAGCGAATGAAATGAAAGAAGCATGCAATGTGGTGTTGTACACAACGTACCCATCATCAAATTTAATTCAAACACAAAATGCAACGGCGAAGGCCCTGTTCGGCTCGCTAAAATTTAGATGCTGCTGATGTTGATTTGTTGTGAGAGAAAAATTGATCCATCGTTAAAAAGTACTGCTGAAAAATAGGGTGGACAACATATGTGTGAGATCATCAATATGTGTGAGAGATCGATTAGAGATGCATCAAGATCAAATGAAACTATGAATGAAAGATAGATATATGCGTCGTCGTCGGCCGGTCAACACAACATGTCTGATGTATGGACCTGGTCCGAGGGGCGATCAGCATGCATGCACTTGCGCTTTGCCTCTGCCTCGCGCCAACCATAAAGTCGCGTCATGCATGCATCTGTACGTGGGTCCATATACATATGTACCGAATGCCTACCGTACGGCACACGTGTCCTGCACTGTACGTACTACGTAGGACGTATGTATCTGATCTCTCAGTATTCTGCCGCAAATATACGTATAACGTAGGTCTATAGGCAGATCGAGATACAGCTGTGTACTTATATTCTCCTTAAAAAATAGAAACTTGAACCTTGTTCCATTATCTAAAAAACTATTATTTATGAAAACCGAGTTATATCCATCAAAATATTGCATTATTGTTGTTATGATAATGTCTAAATAAAATATGAGTGTTGCTGCAGACGACTCGCTCTACCCATATATATATATGAAGCTTGCATGCATCTCTAAGCTAAATATTCTGATTGTTGTGCTAAGAACAGCTCCGAGAGTGCCCAAAACAGTCTCCAAAGAATTTTGGTAAGATTGAAAAAAGAGTAAATTGTACGGCTGGTTCGTAAAATATTGAGTGGTTTTCATCTGGGTCACCAAACTATAAAATCGTACGTTTGACTGCCTAATTTATTTAAGTGATCTCATCCAGGTCCAAAATAGACACGAGGAGGGTTAGAAGCTGACGTGGTCGTCCATGTGGACATGATTTAAACATAAAAACCAGAGCCGAGGGTCCACGGTACCCAATGTCCACTTCCTCCTCCGCCGTCAGCAGGGACGCCGCCATCACCTCGTACCGCCACACCATGCGTTCCTCGGTCGCCGCTGCTAGATGGCGTCGTCGTCGCCACTGCTGCAATAGTGAATTACTAGCTAGATGGTGTCGCCGTCACCGCTGCTGCAGCTGCCGGCGCACGTGGAGGCTCTGAGCGGCCTCTCCGCTATCCCGCTCGAGTACGTCAGCCCCTTAACGAAAGCAAGCCGGCTCGGGACGCGCCGCCGACTGGCGCGCACCATGCCAACGACCACACCGCACCATGGATCCCGTCGTCGACATCTCCCCCTTCTCGGACGCCACCGTGCCCGGCCGGCAGCAGGGACGCGTGCGTGGAGGCCGTGTGCGCCGCCGCGCCCGCCCAGGCGTCATGCACATCGTCGGCCACGGCATCCCCACCGAAGCTCATGGATCGCCTCCCAGCTGCCGGAGCCGTCTTCTTCACCCTCCCCATCCAGACAAGGAGGCCTACGCCAATGACCCACCCGCCGCCGCTGTAGGGGCCACGGTAGCCGCCTCGCCACCAACACCTCCGGCAGCAGCGAGTGGGAGGACTACCTCTTCCACACGGTGCAAACGGATGGGCTCATCGACCATGCGCTCGCCCACGCACACCGCCCGACTATGTCCCCGCCACCCGCGACTTGGTCGCCGAACACGGAGCCGACCTCCACGCCGCCGCCATCCTCTCCATGGGGCTCCTCGGCCCGGACCACGATGACGCGCTAGAAAAGGCGCTCATCACCCACTCCCAAGCGAGGCGGGGAGGCGAACATGAGCGAAGCGGCGGGACCTCGACCTCCTCCTGCAGTTCAAGATCAACTACTACCCAAAGGTGCCCATGCGGAGCCGCCATCGGCATCGAGGCCCACACGGACGTCAAATAGCTTGCACTCGTAGCTCAACCACATCCTTGCGCTTCTCCCTGACCCAGGCGCGTCGTCTCTAGCCACCGAAATCGACCGTACGACAGAGTTTTGCCGCTGCTGTCCGTCATCGCCACCACAAGCATCTTCGTCGTGGCTAGCCCGCTACGATGAGGCTCTCATCCTCTTGTCTTTTGTTTTAGCTGTGTCATGCTTCCGCAACGACGGTGCACCGCCCACGCGGTACATGGTCACTGGCGTCGGCAGGTTCTAGCTCCTGAGCTAGAACTGCAACGCGTCTATGTGGACAACGCTCGAGTCCACGGCAGTTACGGCGCCTACGGCTACTGCGACAACACGCTGC